ACCCCACTGTGGTTTGCTTTTTTTAAGCTTTTGTTTTCTGGCAGAAGTTGAGCTTTTAATCTGTATGAGATATTGGGCTAAAGTTATGGTTAATCTGGAGTGACTGCTGTAACCATGGTGGTGAGTGTGAGTGACTAATGCAATTTAGGAATTTAGTGGTACAGTGACTTTTATGATGGTTAAGGGATGGCAGGTAAAATGCTTAAAATGGAAGCTAACCACTGCTAGTCAGTTAGGCACAACTACAGAGACTTTAGTTTATGTAAGACTAAGGTGTGGTAAGGGATAGATGTAGCTAATTCTGATTAGTGCAAGGAAACACTGTCAGCATTTTCTGATACAGTGCCACTCAACTTGAACCCAAAAGGTTTAACCCTTTAAGGTGAGAAAAAAATTGAACTGTACAGCAAAGCTAGCCTGGTGCAGTCTTTGTACTAGGGCTACATCATTAATGTAGCTAGTAAGTTTTTACACCTTTATTAGCATTTTAAACTATTAGCCAAAATCATCACACACTTGCCTCAAACCGTGTCAGGTTGTTTAAGCTAACCTAAATACTTATCTCTTATCTTAAATACAGTCTCTGTTTTATCCATATGTATAAATAACCCTAGCTTATAGTGTATCAGAAACCACAGAAGTAAGTCTAAATGGTAAAACATTGGGGTATAGTCTCCATTATTTGTTAGCTACATTAGCTTCATAGCGCCAGTGTAAAACTAAAGCAAGCTTGAGTCCACTGACATAAGGAAACCCTTTCACTTTCACTTTTTTCCAAGCACAGCAGCATAACTGAAATACACACATACACAGTCAATCATTACAATAAAAAACTGATTAGCAGATGGTTATGGGAAACAAAAATCTGATTGTGTGTATGAAGCATATGAGTTGCGTGGAGCAACAATAACAGTCAACAGGGGTGTTGGCCTTGTCTTCTGTTGTTGAGCACTGTAACCTGCATCTGTTATCTTATATCAAAACAGAAAATATCTTCTGGACATCTGCGTTACCACTCTCATGTTTTATTAAACATGGAGTTGAGTTTTCTGCGCTGTAGGGAGGAGAGGATGACCTTTAGCTCAGCATCTGCTGGTGGATGATTAGATGCTTTTATGAGAATACCAGAAGCTTAATTTACTCTTTCTTCTTTTATTTTGACCATCTTTGGCTTTGCAGGGATGCCATCTGTCATACAGTATATACATGACCAACAAAGCTCTCACATCGCCCAGTGATTCCAACTAAATTAAAAATTTTAATTGTTTGTATGGTCCAGTGGAAGCATCAGTTGGTACACAAAATGCGCATTTGTGTCTATGTGTGTTTGTTTTTGTACATTTCCAGGACAAAAGAATGTCCAGATTTTTAAATCTTTTATGTATTATTACACTAATTATGACATGTATCATATTATAATGTATTGTATTTATTTATTTATTTAAAAACTCAATGTTTCATAAAACTGACAAGGTTATATTCCAATAACTTCCAATCAAGGTTAAGATTATTCTTTTTTGGAGATACAAGGTTTTGTCATCACAGTGGCAATGCATATAATACATATGAAACACTTTATTGTTGTCATTACATAAAAGTAGTTACATATTTATGATACATATGGGACGCGTGTACTTTCCCACGTCCTGACATTGTATAAAAACAAGCCTGTCTGTGTGTCTGTATGTGAGCTTGCTCTGATCTCTGTAGGCTTGTTTTGAATTTACTGTAGACATGAATTATAGATGTTTGTAAACGGCAGCGCGTCACTGTGTATCCACGGTCTGCCTGAGGGAGACACTGGCATGCTTATAGAGTGACAGGAAATTGAGTGGGAGGCCAGTGACACCCACCAGGTCCATGATTAGAAAAAAAAAATAATGGAGGGACGATCGGGTGACAAATGTGCACCTTCTGTATCTGCCCTACTGCAGAGAGAAATGAAGCTTATCATAGAGACAGTCATCCATCCATCCATCAGGCCTTCCTTATCTGCCTTTTGAGGACCACACCCACACACACACACACACACACACACACACACACACACACACACACACACACACACATGCTCTCATTTCTTTCTCTTTTACAAACACAAACACCACACGGTCAGATACAAAGTGATGCCTCAAATTAATCAGCTGATGACAGTTCACACTCTCCACTGACAGCATCTCTCTGTCTGTCTCTGCCTTTCTCTGTTTCTCTCTCTCTTTGTTTCTCTGTTTCTCTCCCTCTCTGTCTCTCTCTGTCTATTTGTCTTGCCTTGTTTCTCTCACTCTCTGTTTCTGTATACATCTCTATCTATTTCTCTCTTTCAAAAGTTTATAATCACTTGTCATATTAATAAATGTTTTTGCTTTATTCAATAATAACTCATATAGTGTTGATGTAAATACTATTAACTAGACACCAGAAGGTATATTAAGATGTTTTTTTCAGTATTTCAAGTCTTTAGAACATTAAGAAGTTACTGAATAACCAAAATATAGTGTATTTTTATAGAAATCCTATGTTACATTATCTCAAGATCTATCAACTATCCAACTGCTCGGTTATTAGAAGATCATGAGTTTGAATCTAAGTGAGACTACATCTCTCCACTATCAGGAGTCTGAGACCAAACTGGGGGAAGAAAGAAGACTTTTTATAAGAGGCAGCATGCTGACTGTTTGAGTAAGCTCAACTTAAACTGGGTTGTTGTCCTGAGCAGTACTAAAAATGTGAGTTAGTAGAAGTTTTAATTAAGCTTTTTTTTTAATCATTTTTACCCATTTATTTTCATAATAAATAGGGAAATAATGAATAAGTTGGGGAACCAGCCTTGTGACCGAAAGGTCACCGGTTTGATCCCCTGAGCCGACATTATGGCTACGGTACACAGCAGGTAAAAGTGGCCCAAATCTGATTTTCTCACCAAATCCGATTTTTTTGTTTGGCTGTTCACATTATCTTTTAAATATGACCTGTATGCGACATCAGTCTGAACAGATCAGCTCCTAAACCGACCCGCAAAATAACTGCTTTACGTGGCGGCTCGTCCAGAGGTAAACAGTCATGACGGCCAGCGAACGCCTGTGGCTCCCGGAGCTCAGTTTCATCTTCGCCAGCATCACGGGAGCGAGTTTAAAGTTCCAGTGGTTGACAGCTGGACTCATCACCAACAATGTGTTCGAGTTCGCCGAAAAAGGGCACGTTATTCGGCCAAGGCCACTTCTTTGGTTCATGTCCTCAGATTCTTTAAACTGTTCTTTCCCGCTGCAGCCTCGGTCTCCTTCGGCCGTTTCGTTCGAAACCTCTTCAAACACGGAGCGGTTTGATGAGTCTCTTCTAGTTTTTTAGTACAGAAACATCAGACTAAATGTTTATTAGTCTCAGCAGTGCAAAATTATGACGAATGTCTAGTTGTATTGACATAAAAGTCGCATGAATTCCGATCTGGCTGTTCAGACAGAGTCGCATTGCCGCAGATCGGATATGTATCAGATTTCAGTACCGCATATGAAAGCATCTCAAATCGGAATTGAAAATGTCAGATTCAATGCGTTTTTTGCTGTTCACACTGCCACACAGATGACACATCTGTGTCACATTTGAGGAAAAAGATCGGATTTGGGCCTGTGTGACTGAAGTGCCCTTGAGCGAGGCACCTAACCCCCAACTGCTCCCCGGGCACTGTGGATAGGGCTGCCCACCGCTCTGGGCAAGTGTGCTCACTGCCTGTAGTGTGTGTTCACTAGTGTGTATGTGGGTGTTTCACTGCACGGATGAGTTAAAATGTGAAGGTGAAATTTCCCCATTGTGGGACTAATAAGGGTAACTTAACATACTGGAATGTTTACATTTGCTATGTTGTTCTTAAAGCTACATTGAGGAAGAATCTGAAAACAAAATTAAAATTGGTCAAATGGTTTAGCTACAGCATCTGGTTTCCTTATTGTATTTCTTCAAGCCTTGAGTGTAAATGGGCTGAGTTGACCTTTACAGTGTACCAGTTATTCTGAAAAACAGCAACACTTTTTACTGAAGAGAGTTTACACGCCTTACTAAGTCGTGGCCATGACTTAATTATCTCATTCCCATGCCTTACTAAGTCATGGGATTAGGATCTTGTCCCCTCGTGTTAATAAAACGTGGCCATGCATTATTTTTATTTATACAGGATGTCACCAGCAGGGCTCCATAGTAAACTTCTACAAAATGGAAGCAAAACCAAAAGTGTTGCATATTTATTTTTCATCAGAATAGCTGAAAACTATGAAGTTAGTAGCATCTTCATAATAGAATAATAGAAGTTTTGAATGGTAGTGTATGTGTGTGCATACACGTGTGTTTGTATTATGTGTGTGTGTGTGTGTGTGTGTGTGTGTGGGCTTCAAGAGCCCACACCCGTACCCTTCACTAAAGTTCTGATGAAAAGACATTCTTCCAGGCTGTTGTCTGTGCAGCAGTAGGGGGCAGAACATTAGAGGAGCTGTATGTGCTCACTTGCACATTTTTGTCATGGTTAAACGAAACCAAAACATGGGAATTTGCATAACGCTGACTCTCTAGGAAAGCTGAGGAAATGGAATGCGTGCAGTGAGGGTAAGCGAGCCCGTGAGAGAATGGGAGCATTTATGAATATCAGAGTCAGTCTCTCTCTCTCTCTCTCTCTCTCTCTCTCTCTCTCTCTCTCTCTCTCTCTCTCTTTCTCTCTCTTGCTCTCTTTCTGTGAATATAGAAGAAGTTTAAGCTGATTGATTCTGAAGCAGTCGAGCACAGCGTACCACGGGGAATAGCGTTCAGAACAGGATATTAGTTAGAGGAAAGAGACACGAGTTTAATACACATACACAGCCTCTCCAGAGTGTACAGAGGGAAACAGACTCACACTCACTGTAATAACCTTCCCCTAATGTACTTCATCTTACGGAGCCCTTTAAACTCCTAGATTAGATGCAAATTTATTCATTTCCCAACAACATTCCTGCTCAATATCTGCCTTTTCCACTTACACTTTCAGTTCAATTACCCATCCATCCATCTGATCTGTCCGTTCTCACCTACAAATCCAGCTTTCTGCCGATGTGCTCCAGCCCCTCCTGAAGCTGTGCTGTGTGGACTCGGCCTGGAATAATCGGAATTCTCCTGGGCAGGAGCGTGGGGAGGGGGGGGTGGTCAACAGAGTGTGTCTGCAGGAGGAGAGAGAGAAACAGGGAGGATAGAATGGAGAGAAGAATATGTAGAAAGAAGAGAATGAGAGAGAAGGAAAGGAGAGATGTAATGACAGAAAAGAGTGATAAAGAGGGAGAGAAAGAACAATGGCAGGAGAAAAAGAGAACAATGGAGAGAGAGAAAATGAAAAAGCGAGGAAGATAAAAAAGAAAAAAGTGATAATGAAGGACAGAGAGAAGGAACAATGGAGAGAGAGGGAGAGACAAACAGAGAAAGAGAGAGGAAAGAAAGAGATACACAAGAAAGAAAGAGGAGTAAAAGAGTATAATCAGGGATAAAGAGAAAGGGAGTGAGGAAGAGAGGGGACAAAAGGGAGGAGATGATAAGGGAAAGGGAGGGAGAGAGAGAGAGATGGAGAGTGAGAATGAGGGAGGGAGAGTGAGGAAGAGGGAATGAGAAAGAGAGAGAGAGAGAGGTGGAGAGTAAGAGTGAGAGAGTGAGATAAGGAGGGAGAGTGAGGAAGAGAGAGAGAGAGAGACAGAGGTAGAGGGTTATTTCAGGTTTTTGCTGACCATGTGCTCTCACAGACATAAAGACACACAGACTGAATGACAGACAGAGTCCTGCAGAGCAGAGCACAGTTATTTACATGTTAGCTCTGAGGCTGAGTGAGTGTTGAGGCTGCCGTGTTAGCGACTGTCCTAAATGAGGTCCTTTATGATGAGAAAGGTTAGCGTCAAATTAGCATGGGCTGCTGTCTCCTCTGAGAATGCACTCATTGATCTGCACGTACAGCAGTGTGGAGAGACCAGGATGAAAACAATGAGTTTGAAACAGTGAGTGTGTGTGTTTGAGACTGGGTGGTCTGGGTGGTCTCAGCAGGCGACAACACTGCCCTTGTTTTAGAGGCCATGGAGAGTGTGTTAGCTCAGTGAGTGTGTCATAACCCTGTTTAAGAAGAAAGGCCCTGTGAATGATTCAGTACGTGTATATATGGGTGTGTGTGTGTGTGTGTGTGTGTGTGTGTGTGTGTGTGTGTGTGTGTGTGAGGATCTTTAGAAAGCAGAAGCTCAGTTTTCAGCCGTGGGAGTGAGTGAGTGTATGGGTTTTCAGGCATGGCTGGGTTCCAGCTGCCGTGCTGCCACACTGCTCTGTTCTGTTTTATGACGCAGTAGAAAGTGTCTCGCGGCCCAGGGGACAGAGGATGTTTTTTGGATGATCTGCCCAAGCCCTCCATCTTTTTCTTTCTTTCATTTGTCTCTCCTACTGCTCCCTTCCTCGTTCTCTCGCTACTTTCGCCATCTTCTCTCTCCCTCGTGACTCCTCACTCTTTTCACACGGCTCCTGAACACCTCCTACTCATCAAATATCTCCACAATAGCTACATCTCCATCCAAAGGATTTTAATGAAAAATGTTCTTCATAAAGTTTGTTGATGTAGGATGAGGGTGGGGAAGTGCATGGACTAGATTTCTGCACAGTTTGGTGATTCACCTGCTCACACAAGCACACCTGATTCAATTAATCAGTTAATTACCAGGTTTAGTTGATGTGCTTAGGCCAGGAAATCACCAACTGTGCTGGACACAGCAGTCCTCAGGCTCCCTCCCCTGATATAAGCTGTTGGTAATATTTTATCAATGTCGACAAAACTTTTCCTGTTCAATTTTAAAGGACAATTGTTAACTGACACCTGAAATGTTGCACAAGCCTACAATGGAAACTTTTGTTTTTGGGGAAAAATAATGCATTTATGCATAAATTAGTGTCATGTGATAGATTTCTTCATGTGCATCTTTAGACAGGGACAAACAAACAGTGCAGTCGAGAGGTTTAGCTGGACTGAAGAGGAGACGAGAGAGTTTTAAAAGGAATGCTGGCCCTTTTCAGTGAAGAAATGTTCCGAAAAGACTACAGTCATTCTAAATGAAGGCAGAGAAACATGACATCTTGTGTAACTGACGGAAAATAATATTAATAGTAATTTGTAATCAACATTTTTTGTCGATTTTCCAGGTAAAAATAAAACATCCTCTACAGGGAACAAGCGTAATTTTTTCTGTGCATTTTAGTGCACAGTTTCTGATTGATATAATATATTGGACAAAATAAAACATATAATCCAAAATGTGCCATATCTTTTTTTTTTAATGTTATATTCTGCACTTTTTTCCTATAAACTAAACTTATGCAACAGGAAGTCATTGCATAAAGCATTTTTATCACTAAAAATCAGTTTGATAGAAAGCTGCTGGCCAGCAAAAACTATTTTACACATTTACATGACGTTGCTTGCAATTTGCTAAGAAAGTCAATGCAAACAGCTACTGAACACAGAAAACATGAACACTGACAGTGAAGGGACACTGAAGTTTGAGGAGTCTCCATTTCTTTACTTGAAAATGCCAAAAGAACCAGTTTCCTTCAGGTGCTGAAGTTAAGGGCTGCAGTAATACATGGGTTTTCAGTGGAAAATGTTCATTAAAACAGTACTGCATGTACAGGGTAGAGGTTAATTTTTATATGAAAAAATGATTCTTAAGTGATTTTTTTGTCGTTAATTCTGATTTCTTTACAGCCAAATCAGCCAAATGTTTTTTTTTTTTCTTTTTGAATCCACAGGCAACAAAGACAAAGCCTAAGTTTACTATCATAGTTACAGTGAGTAGATGCATATTTTCGAACAACAATAAACACGGTTTATCTCTTTAAACATATCAGCATGAACTCAGTGAAAGAGGTTATAGCTTGGCTGAAGGCTAGCCATCTGTAGCCTTAGTGTACAATTAGACTGAATGAACTGGCTAAATGACCCCTTTGGATTTTAGCCCTACGGTTCTTGCCTCTGATATCCAAACAAACTGTGTAACCTCATTTTCACTTGTTTAAATAACTTTCTGTTTTTTATCAAGCACACCCTCTCCCCTCTTAAGGTTTTCTCTATCTCTCTCTAGCTCGCCTTCACGGTTTAACTTTCCTTGTCGTTATCATTATGTCTTGTTCTGGGGCACCTGCATTTGTGTGATTGGCCAGTGGCCACACTCTGAGAATGCAGTGGGCCACTAACGTCTAGATATATGCATGCCAGTATTTGTCCAGCACATGCTTTTTGTCCGGTGCAGTCTCCATTCATTTTATATTAGACTACATTAAAAATGACCAAGCATTTCTTTCACCCTCATAGCTGCCCATACACATAGAAGCCTACCGGAAATTGATCCCATCCTCATGACTGCCAGTCCATCCCTGCATACATGCTTTAGATGAGGCATTCAGAGAAGCAACCATAAACTCTCTTTAAAATATAGAATGTTCAGATACAGCACATAGGTACATGTGTATTAGGATGAAACAACAAAAAAGACTGTCAGTCAACAGAGAAGAAAATAAGGAGGCTTAGATAGAGGAGATGCTACGAAGGCTCTGCGGGAGCTTGTTCCAGAGTTTAGGCACCAGTGCGCTGAAAGACTTGCCTCAGTGAACGAGTCAAAGCAAAGTATAAAGTTCTCTATAAAATAAAGAATATATTACTTGCATGTCTTACAAGCTTCAAATGTCACTGTTTAAAATAGAGCTGCCATAAGCAGTTTTAAAACGTGTGAGAAAGTGAATGAACCTTGGCATTAACAAAGTGAATGTAGCTTGGCACTAATCAAACGTTGCCAAAACAGATGTGCTAGCAGAAATTTGCATTATTATAGGTTGTTAACTGAACAAAGGCTACTTATCAAGTGAAGGTTTCTACATTTTATAATGCTATTTTATTAAATGATTGGCTTGGTATGTGATCATGAATATATGGTCAAAGTAGCAATGGGCAACAAATTAGGATTGTAATTTATATCATAAATTGCATGTTACAAGTGAAAATTGGCCAATTCTGATTCTGAATTAAAATAGGAATTAAAAACCCATAGCAAATTTATTCTGGCCCAGATTTGGCCCACACCCTACCCCTCATTTTCATCCAGCCCACTTGCCACATGGATTGACAGCACTTGGGTGGACCACTCCCGACTGCTAGATGTGGGCCGCATATGTACCAGATTAGGCCCACACGTCAGCCAAAAGTGAACCACACAACTGGGCCTAATCTGGACCAGAAGCTGACCAAAATATGTAGGATGTTTTTGGAACAGATCCACACCAGACTCATTTCAGATGCCAAAATTATTCTGGCCCAGATTTGGCCCACATCCCAGTAAGAATTCAATAACAATACCTTATAGTCCCAAAATTGCCCTTATCCTCAGCCTAACTCACACACCAGCCTCCCATCTACACAATGCCCAGTACCTGTGTTTATTTCCTGTGTAGCATAATTGGTAGAAAATTTGAGTGAATCAATTAAAAACAGTGAAGTCTAAATGGACAATTTAAGTGGTTTTCTTCCTCTGCTCACTTTATTTTTCATGGTAAGGTTGACATTTGCACGGAATTGCCACCATCCCTTTCAGGCACTCTCTGTTAATGTCACTCCACAGATATCTGCTACATGCTCGCTGATGTATGACTGAGACAAAGTGGAATAAAACTCAGGGTGGGGAGTGGGAACTGACCCCTGAGGCACAGCAACTGAAGAGAATGAAGTGTCCTGTCTGTGAGTATTAGTTTGATGCCAAGCTTGCATTTATTTTTATTGCAAACATTTTTTACAAGTGAACGGTGCAGAACGCTACAGTGTAGAGAGGCCTCCAGAACTGGAGCTGGAAGTCACCTACGCAATAATGACTTTGTGCAGCCATGCCACAAAATATAACCTCATAGCAAAGAGTTTGGTTTGAAAGCACTCAAATCTAGCCACATGGTTTGTTAATACAAGCTAAGGTAGTTACCTAAAAATGGCTGCCAGTAGCAGCACATTTAGCTTGGATGTGTCCTTGCTAGAAGAATATTGGAGCAGTTTCTTCCTGTTTAATGCATTCATTTGAGGTGAGAACACGCAATTAGCAGCTTAATGATAATTGGTCTGGTGTAATGAAACCCAGCCTGTGAAAAACTGCTGTACATTTCCA